CCTCCAAGAACTCACCTGTCCTCCGTGCCCGCTGAATCCCCCTGCCGCGTCTCTGCACAGGCGCCCGCCGAGAGGAAGGGCTGCCTCCTTCACGTGGGCAGTGGTGTGTCCGTCCAAGAGGCGGGAGGGACGGCAGAGGGTGGGGAACTTGGCTCCTCTCTGTTCCCAGGTCGCTGCCCTGGAAACACCTTCTCCTGTGGCAACAGCCAGTGCGTGAGCAACGTGAACCCGGAGTGCGACGGCAGGGCGGACTGTGCCGATGGCTCCGACGAGGCCCACTGTGGTCAGTCCGGCCTGGACACAGGCCACCTTCCCGGGTTCCCAGGCTCCGCTGGCACCCCCTGAGTTCAACTCGTGGTGCAGGGGGTGCAGTCTATCGGGGTGGGCAGAATGAACCCTTTACTGCTCAGCAAGGGGGCACAGGAGTAAGAAGTTTCCTTGTCCCACCCTCCCCCACTGCACAGCTAGAAACCTGAGTGTGATTTGTGGGGTAAACCCACTGCTCCATCCAAGCAGCCCGGTCAGACAGGGTAGAGCTGCCCCTGTGGGTTCCCCGGACTGGGGCTCTCTACAGAGTAAAAGCCTCGTCTTTCTCCCTCGGACCGACTGCTGACCTTGGGATTTGAGTCCAGCCGGATGGGTTGGCCCAGCCCAAATCCTGCTCAAGACCTTTCTCAACGTGCAGCCTGTGTACCGAGGGGCGTGCAGAGGTGGCGCTGGGGGCAGAGAGGCTTCCTGTGGCTTTGAGTATGTGACCTCTCAGCACAGGTTGGGGGGCACCCGGGAGAGGCGAAGGGGCAACTCCAGAGGCGTCCGTCCGGAAGGGCATTGTGAGCTGAGACCCTGGCCGGGCTCTTGGGTCCCGGGGTCTCCTCTCTTGCAGACTGCGGCTTGCAGCCGGCCTGGAGGACCCCCGGCAGGATCGTGGGCGGCGTGGCGGCGTCCCCGGGGGAGTTCCCGTGGCAGGCCAGCCTCCGGGAGCACGGGGAGCACTTCTGCGGGGCCACCATCGTGAGCGAGCGCTGGCTCGTGTCCGCCGCGCACTGCTTCAATGAGTAAGGCCGTCCCCCGGCCTCGCAGGCACCTTGTAGGGGACCCCAAGCAGGACAGCCTGTCGCCTGGGCGGCCCTTGAGCTTCAGACGGGCATGAAGAGCGGGTGCCCGAGTGGGGTGCTTGACTGCCACCCTGGAGACCCCGGGTCCATTCCTGGTCACTCCTCGTGGGCCTGTGGAGGTCAGCGGTGAGGCCGAGTGGGTGCGGGCGGATTTCTTAGGCTAGGAAGAAAGGCTTCCTATGCAAACCCGGGGAGCCCGTTAGGGCAGGGGTGGAGGTGCCACCAGGTGGCCCCTTGGTCGAGGATGCCCCCACCACCGGTCGAAGGGGTGGGAAGGGCTGAGTCGTCACCTCCCAGGCAGGAGACCCCAGGTTTGGTTCCCCACCAGTGAAGCTGGTATCCATGCCCCCACCGTGTGCCCACGGAGGCCGGGCCCGTGGCGGTGGTGCTGAAGGGAATTCAGCGGAGCTCCCAGACGGTGACAGACTAGGAAGAGAGGTCTGGCCACCTGCTTCTGAAAACCAGCCCATGCCACCCCCCCTCGGATCACAGTTCTCCTCTCAACAGGGGGTGGGGCCACCCAGCCCCGCCTCCATCTACCTACATGGTAAAACGAGGCGTTCTGTCACCCCATTCTTTCATGACACCGCCCTGCCACTTCACTGCACTCAGGGGCTCTCAGAGAGGGCAGGGCCTCCCCGCCCCCCCAGTCCAGCCCTTTGGGGTCTGTCTTTATTTAAAGGAGGGGTGTCTTTGTTCACCGTGG